CAACATGACTATATACATGTGATCCAATTTCTGCGCATCGTCCCATGTTTAATTATTTGTCCCATCTTTAAAGGTTCTTAATTTTTCCCTAACTGTTTAATTACATTTATAACTATTTTCCAATTTAAATCCTTCTCCGTGAATTGTTCAAGCCCTTGGTCTCATATTAGTTTCACCAGTTTTTAATCCAACTCAATTTATTCCTTAATGACATACATACATACATACATAAATATTACTATATTTCCTACTCAATTTAGCAAATTCAGTTCGTTTTGAGTAACTATAAATGCTACTTTTTGAACCTTACGTATTATAAATTTTCCTTTTTTAACTAATTGATATTTTTATTAAAAAAAGAGTAATTATAAATGCATTATTAACTATATCAATGATCATTGAACCAAGTAAGGGAATTATATGAAAAGGACAAAAATCCATTTTGTAATTACTCATATTTAATCACATAGATGGCACTGAGCTAAAATGGTGATATGTAACACAATCCATACTGTTAGATCCTTTCAATTACATAAATATAGCAACAAGATCAAAGAATAATGTGTACGTAATTTTATCTTTAACACTACTAAACCAAGCCCAATCACTCAAACTCAGACTATAATTCAAGATGAACCTAATAAAGCAAGTTAGCAACAAAACACCAAGTTTATGATTATAACGCAATCAAAATTAGACCATATATATATACACGTACATATGTACATGTATTAAATGAGTAAATTGTACGTGGGTTTTGTTTCAAAAATTATTGGGTGACATTGTCCTTTGTTAGTAGGCCTAAGTCTTTATCATTCCACGTAACTACCTTTCTTTTTTTTAAAAAAAAAAAGGACATAGGTTGATGTGATTTTAGCAAGGTATTAATTAAAAGTAGACTAGTTATTGAACCAGTTAAGATACTTGTTCAATAGTTAATGATCAAGGCAATAATCAAACCATGATCAAACCAATAATAAATAAGACATTCTATTAAGCCAGTCAAGATACTATTTTACTAGTTTAACTAGACATATTGACTCAAATTTCTATATAGTTTTTTAGTAAGAGAAGCATCAAGAGTTCACCATATGCAAGATCATTTATCATTTCCATCTTAGTCCTCCATTCTTCATGAGTTATGACACTAATAAAACAGTGAATTTCTCATGGGTAAAAAACTTAAGAGAAAACTTCTCATGATATTTCTCACAACATTTACATGATTTTTTTCCTAATGTTTTTTATGGGTTATTTGAGTTAATCGATCAGAAATCTGTTTTATTATTTTTTCTTTTGTCACAAGTGTCCTCTTATTGAATTTAATTTTGTTTGAGACATGATCGGTTGTTAAATGTGAGCATATCCCCTAGCTAGCGGCAATTCAAATTTTAGTTCACAATGTGTTGAAGGATTAACCCCTACCACTAAATCCAACCACGATCGGTAAAATCTGTTCTCGTTATGTAGTGCATGTGAACAAAGGGTTGGGATGGATTTGTTGTTGGCTTTTTATTGAATTTGCCTTATAGTGGATCCAAATTCCAAATCCGTAACACAGAAGCTTGTTGATTACAAGGAAGGACTTGTCGCTGTTATATGGTTAACGTGTATTAATAGCTTAGGAAGGTAAAGGAAAAGTGACCAGTCATAGGCAACAAATGAGGGATGAGGCACACTTGATGAATGCAACAAAGTGTACTCTCTCACTACCCAACACAATGTATTTCTCCTTTCTAGTTACCTCCAATCTCCTCAAATAAATGTGCTGCAAGCTTAGATTTGTATGTAGTAAATATATTGTACTCCATCTTGTTTGGTACTTTGCGTTGTAAAAATTTATATCTAGAATTTTAATTAATTACCCTGCAAAATAAAATCATCATTCACAATATAATTATTTAGTATAGCTGTCATGTTGTGTCACTGATCTTTTGTGAATACATGAATGTAAGGGATTCAAAATCACTAGTCACTACTGAGACTAACTCTAATATAGGTTTTTTCAAAATACACACTCCACTCTTTATTCAAAATATATAAACATATTTCATAATTTACAATTTTAAAATACATACATGCATATTTATTGTATATTTGTTCATTTTTCCCTTTCCCAACACATATATTAAGTATGGATATGCATAAATTGTAGTTCATAATAACATGGATTAAAATTAACAAAAATAAAAAAATAAAAAATATTTCATCAATTCGACCATCGTCCAACCATTTGTCTTAATAGTTTTTGACTAATTTGAGGCCAGATCCATTAGTTCATGACCAATTCCCTGGCCCATAATTTTCTCCTATGTTCAAATCCAACACTGGATTATTTCTTAGTTCAATCGGTTAAACCAGTTGATACGGTTCAACTCTAAAAACTAAGTTTATTTCATGTTTCTTTTCATCACTTTTGTCATGTGTTACTTAAATTAAGTGAATGCGTAATAATTGATAGTTAATTGGGTTTTGGATCCAAATACTTGTGGAAAAAATCTATTTTGACTCCTTTTTTTTAAGTATACAATACTATCTCCACTCTTTATTACTTCTTGAACTCCATATATTTGTGGAGTTAGTCCTGCTTTAATATTTTAGGCAGCAATTTCAAAGTAGTTAATTTCAACGATAATTTCAAGCTTAAAAATATTCCTAAATTAGTTAACCAATATTTTACGCCCACATATAATTTCTTTGCTAAGTTTAAGTGAAACTGAAATTCATGTTATTATAGGAAAATGAAACCATAATTAAGAACATTCAAGGAAAAACAATTTTTCATCCAACTGTGAAATAAATTTCTTAAACCTAATTAAAACACCCATCAGTGTGAAAAAAATAATAAAAGTATATGTGGTAGATAATTAGTAAGAAAGAGTCATAAAAAACAAAGTTTAATTTGATAATAAAAAAGGGTTTTGATATTACCAGAAATGAATGACACTAAGGATACTGATTGTCACATGGCAGTCGCATTCGTAGGGTTTTAATAATGGTACACTCCTCAATGATTCAACTAGTCCCCACTTCCATAATAATTCAATCCAAAACCACCACAATCTATTATTACACTTCCCAAATTATAATTTTTACCTTTTAATTTGGAACCTCCATGGTCAGCATAATATTATTGTTAATGACGGCCTCTTTTTTTTATTATTCCAAAGTCTCCTATCCTTGAAAACTTGAAGGTATTACCACTATATACCTAGACTAATCTGGACTCCCACTATATAGGATCGTTTTTACCAATGCCAGTCTCACTAGTACATAAGGGATGCCTTCAACATTTTTGTTTAACCCAACTGTATGTTTGGGAAGTTGAACTTAAGATTCTAAGAAAAGCTAATTCAACTTCCTTGACCAGTCTAATCCAGCACTGTTCAATATTATTAAGGCATGCTTTAAACCTCCATTTGAGTAATCATATTATAAGTGGGACTCATTACTTTTTGACTGAAATTCTTTAGATATTAAGTTCATAAATCTTTTACATATAATTTCATACTTTTTTCTTATTTAATTTTAATTTAATGTAAGACTTTCTCTCACGCTTAATTTTACTCACGCTTAAAAATACAAAACTCACTAGCAATAATAGACCACTTGGACACTAAATAGTGAACCTTTTGCTCCAAATAGGTGCATGGTTGGTTCCCATTCTTACAAATAGTATTAGAGCCTGGTTTCAATCCAGAGCAATTGGTCCCCATATTTAACAGTGTAAACATAAACTTCCATGTTCTTGTGCCATTGTTTCATAATAGCAATGCTTGGAGAGCTAGAGTATCAAACGAAAGCTGAATTCCATATTAATTAAAATAAACAAAGGTGATCTAGGCCCCTAAACATTATTTCAAAGTTTGATTTCTAGAGGTGTGTGTAGAGAGCACATCTTGGGAGAGGACAACTTTTTAAATAATGCTCAAATTTCTCGAGGGATTAGTTTCATGACTGTCGGTTATGAGGATACCTTGGAAAGCCTAAAATAGAAGAAGGTTACATGTGTCCACTAGAAAGAACCTTTATTTAAACTCCTTGCATAGAATTGGAGGTTGATCAAATGTATAAAAAATATAGTTAAGATCATAAGACATCTTAACTAAAAGATGAGCACATTGATTAACTTCTCTATACACAAAATGAAGCTACGATTGAAAGATAAGACATATCCTAGCCAAAAGATGAGCACACTGCTAGACTTTATTTGATATCAAACAATTTGGTACCTAGAAGCTACATTAAACACCAAATGATCCGAGTTATGGTTTCTGCTTGGTTCGATCCATATTAGCTAGAATCAAATGCAGCTCCCCAGATATTAGATGGATTGATACAAAAAGAAAGAAAAAAAACCTACTAGACTTAATTTTTTATGTATATGAACTTAACACCATTAATTGATACAAAATTTAAAAATCGTAATATATTCATAGTTATTTTCAGCTACATGTATTTGTATTTTCAATCCAATTTTATGACTTTTCCTCCACCCTATATTTACTCTCTCTCTGTCTCTGTTATATTACAATACAAGGTAGCTGGGTTTGAAAAGAGAAATGGTGAGAGGAAGAGAAAGCAGAAAAGTAGTTTCTGTTGTGGAATTACACTCTAGGTGCGACGTTTGCAGAATAGCCCCAACGTCTTTGTCACTTCATTAATCATCGTTTTCAGAAGTCTCTCTCTCTCTCTCATGCCTTCCCTTCCATTATGATTTTCTTTCTTTGAGAAAGCAAATTAAGTAATAATATTGTAAATAAACCAAGCGTCATTCTTAAGTTTATTCCAAATTTATCCTCCTCTTTTGATTCCTGACGAGGGTCCAGTTGGAGGGTGAAAAAGTAACGAGAAGCATCAAAAAAATATATATATATATATATATACACGGATATATTTATGGTTTCTAATATGAAATAACAAGGAATTATTGAAGAAAAGTTGGTTTTTTTATTTATATAAATAGATATAGCCTTTGTTTCTCTTTTGTTTCTTGGCCTTCATCTTCTGAATTCTCTCTTTCAGTTCTGATAGAAGGAGGGAAAGAATTTACCAGTTCATCCTGAGAACTGTGTTCCTGTTTTGTAACTCTTTAATTTATCGCTTTTGTTTTCCTTCCCCAGGTTAGTAAGCAAAACACTGAGACATCCTTTGATTTCCCATTCCCAATGCTTCATCTTTTTTGGGTTAATCCAACTTTTTCAGCCTCAAAACCCTCCTTTTTGAAGCTTAAGCCCTCTTAGATTAGATTGCAAACTGTCACGAACCGAAATTGATATAGAATCTTCAGCCAACTTTTTTTATGTTTGTTTTAGATTCTCCAAAACCAGCTCATAAATCCATGGTTTTAATTTACTTCTCAAAAATCGATTCTTTTCTTCTGTGAGTTAGTTAAAGAGTGACGATCTCTTGATTCTGCTTGAAAACCAAAACTTGCTCAGTTTGGCGATGTTGATGATGTTTTCTTCTTCAGATTCTCCAAAACTAGCTCAAAGCTAGCTACTCCAGGGTTTAGTCATGGCTTTTACTTTCTCAAATAGATTCTTTTTTCTTGTGCGAGTAAAAAAAAAGCAATAAGAATCACTTGGATTTAGCTTGAAATTTTTTCGCAGTCAAGCATGTGATGAATTAATGTTTGAGACCTGGATTTCTCTTTACCGGTTTGTTCCTTTTCTTTTACCGATGTTGACGGTTTCTTCTTGATGACTTTGATTATTTCTTGGTTCAGTCATGGCGTTCCCAAATCAATTAGCTATGTCAGATTCATCATCTCCACAGAGAAAGATGGGAAGAGGGAAGATTGAGATCAAGAGGATCGAGAACACCACAAATCGTCAGGTCACTTTCTGCAAGCGCAGAAATGGCCTCCTCAAGAAGGCTTATGAGCTCTCTGTGCTTTGTGATGCTGAGGTTGCTCTCATCGTCTTCTCTACTCGTGGTCGCCTCTACGAATATGCTAATAACAGGTATAATAATATATCTATATATATATATTCATAAATTCTTAGGGTTTCAAGCTCCCTGCAGGTTTCTTCTCTTTTAACTTTCTTGATCTTTCATAAAAATCTCTGGGTTCATATTTTCTGCCTCTTTGTTGAATAGATCTCAAAAAGGGTTTACTGTGAATTTGTATTAATAGGGTGAAAATTGCTCTTGTTTTGGCATAAATTCATAGATCTGGTGCAATCGATTATGTCCATAGTTATGAGAGTATCAAAGGGTAAAGATTTGAGAAGTTAGCGTGAGATCAGCCCAATTTCCCCCTTTGTAGAAAGCTTCTGTTTCCAGTTTTCTCCTCTTTCCTCTTCTCTCTCTCTCTCTCTCTCTCTCTCTCTCTCTCTCTCGGTGCCAATATGTCTCTGAGACTATTCTATGGCCTAAGCTTTCATCTTTGACAATTCCTTAATAACGCATCACTAGTCACCAGATTGGTCTAGCCAGAAGAACTGTAGAATCTCAAGAAATTGTCAAAATATCAGATTGAAAAGAGAGATTTTTTTTTTTTTTGAAAATGGGTCTTTATTAGGGTTCGTGTAGGTTATACGGGGATTTTAGTTTCTGAATCAGCTAAGAAGAATCCATAGCCAGATTGAGAGATTTGCTATTTTAATCAAAAGTTTCCACAAATCTGACCTGCACCCACGTGTAATTTCTTGCTGGGTCAAACTTAACCTAAAAGATTAGGGTTTTGTTATCCAGTGGAGATCATTTGGGTTAGGCTTAATCAAGTAAGAAACACCAAACCTAACCTTTTTATTTCCTTTTTCTGTTCTCTTTCTCGCCGACCAATCAGGAACCTGAGAAACTCCTTCAAGAGAGAAAATAAAGAAGGAAAGTTGGTCGTTTTTTGAGGTTTGATTATATATATTTTTCTGGTCTTCTTTCTGGTTAGGGTTTTAAAAGGTCTCTGATGAGTAGAGTTAGAGAATAGGATTTGGTTGTCTCTTGGTCGAGAGAATCTTTGGTCACGTCACACACATGGTTTTCTCAGTTCTTGACTTCTGACGAAGAAAGACTATAATTATAATATGTCATGAATCGATTCCTCAAACCCCCATTCGCACTTTTTTTTTCCCCTTGGTTCTCTTGTCTTTCCCTTCTTCGTTCTGGTTTTGATGGATTACAAAGTTCTGGTGACTCAGAAAACCAGAGTGTGATGAACCAATGAGAGTATTACACTTGGTCATCGTGATTTCACCATTGTGGGTATCACAGACTGGGCTTTGCCGTTGTTCATAAAGTCACTGTGTTGTTATTTCTGTGAAAGTTTTGGACTCACTCAGAGAGAGGAAGATGAAACATTCAGACAAAGTAACAACGGTGTCGTTGTAATATAAGGAGTTTTAGATTTTTTTTTTCAAGGGAAATCTTTTTTTTTTTTGGAATTTCTTTCAGTAAAATGCTTTTATGTGACTGAAATGAAATTTTTTGAAAATTTGTTGGTATGCCTAAAGGTAATAACAAAAGATTTATTATCATCTTTTATCAGAGAGTTTGATTTTCTAAAGAGCATTAAAATGTTATTTAACTAGCTTTTATCTCTTTTGAATGTTTCTCTAGTTCTTTTTCTAGTGATTTTTTTTTTTACTTCATTAAAAAGTAAAGATCCTCGTGTCAAAGAAAATTAAAAAGTGTTACTTAGTATATATAAATTACATTAAATTTTTAATTTAATGTGTCAAGCACTTTAAAAAAACTCAATGATGGTGTTAATATGAAAAAGATAAATTTTTAAAAGAACTGGCTTTTGTATAAATTATAAATAATGATTCATTTACATTAACTAAGATTTTTTTTAAGAAAATTTATTTAAGAATAAATATCTTAACAAATTTGCTTAAAATTTATAAAACAATGTTAACTAAATATAATTATCTTTATAAAGGTAAATGATACTATCAAGTTTTGGTTTACTTTTTTTTAAAAGAAAAATACTACTTAAATTATAAATTATAAGCATGTGACTAAAAATTCTGGTAAAATTAACTTTTAAACATTTTACCTACACTTTTAAAATTTTCAAATGCAAGAAATATAGGTTTTTTTTTTTCTTTCTTCCCAATTTTATGGAAAAAAACCGGGGTACAGATAAAGGCAAAAATAAAATCATTGCAAGGTACCTAAAACTGAGAACCAATGGTGGGAGGAGAGAGAGAGAGTAATGATTCTTCAGATCAGAACATTTAGGCTTGGTCGTTTCATTTCAATTTCAAAACAACGAGACGTACAACTACTAATTTCTTCATTTACTGTGGCTCCTGAAAAGTGACATTCGGAAACAAATCTTATTTTATTTCATCAAATCAAAAAATTCACTGTCAGTTTGTCACAGCCTCACAGGCGCAGAATATATATATATATTATATGCATACTTATCCATGCCCAAAAATAGATTGTATATTTTAGTATCATACCCATTGTGTTGGATCGAGGTGGACAATGAAGTGAGGTTGAGGATATTACTATTATCCTCCGTAGTCTGTATCATATGTTTTCTCGTAAAAACAAAACTAGCTGTCCTAGGAATGGGATGAACCAATTATATTGTGTGCTGATGGGCCAGCGTGGCAGACGCAGCCAATCAGTGGCTCGACGATGTTAAGGTATCCTAATAATAATGCATCCTAATCCTAAACTTAAAAGAAGAAACACACAAAAACCTATAATTGTTCTTGAATATTTTATTTATTTATTTCCATCAGCGCGAATCTTTTTTTTTTTTTTGGGGGCGTTATGGGTACGTGTGGTTCAGAGACCAAGTGAGGTCATTGATTGATGTTTGATGTTACTTTGGAGTAGGAGTTGCGTTTAAGGTTAAGTGAGAAAGTTGGCTGATTTGACCGTTGACCCCTTCACCAGGTTTCCCGGTTATTACGTCACATTTAATTCAATCCTTGCATCTTCATGTTTTTTTTAAATTATTTTTAATATATATATAAATATATATTATAGCCAACCTTAGCCATTAGTCATTCTTATAAATGCAAAATAATTACGGAAAATCGTGATTTGATTGATTGTATATTCTCCTTGGCGCTCAAGAAAGAATAATCAATACTCAAGAAAATGTAATTTATTAAATCATTTTCGTGTGGTTTCCTTTTAAATTTGTTGGTCCAAACATTTTTCTGTGGTTTCAAAATGTCTCTGGAAATAAGTGAAAAGAAATTTTTTTGAAAACTTAAGAGAGAGGAAAATTTGATGGAAATAATAAATCTGATATTATCTTTCACCTTTTATAAATTTTCCCTCAAAATAGTTAAGATTATAGTTTATTACTTTTTCATTCTATTTTATTTCTCAATCCAAAATGCATGCATAAACCTAATTAAGTATAAGAAGGTATACTTAATTTATTTGAACCCTAGCTAGTTAGGTTGTGGTGTGCTAGATTGCTTCACATGCATTGAAGATTATTGATATAATTAATTAAGATTATGGTTTATTTTTATCTTCTATTTTTTTCCCCTCAGATTCAATAGACGTTATATCCGAGATAGTAGCAGAACCAGTTTGTGAATGCTTTCAATAATTATCTAACAGCAGAACAGGGATATACCAGCATGGTCATGGAACTCATGGAGATTTTGATATAAGATATATAATGAAATTGAATTTCTTTTGCTTCTAATAATAAATTTTAATCATTTTCCCAGTTGCTAACTATTTTCAATAATTATCTAATAGCAGAACAGGGATCATGCTGATGAATAATGCAATTTGTCAAAGTTTTTATAGTATACGCATTATATACAGGCAGCACTGAATTTAGCCATCAAGCTTTAGATGAGAAGAACGCATTAAAAAATTAATTGTTGTGAATGACTAAAGCTCTTTAATTAATTAACTACTCGGCCTTCAGATATATATATATATATATAGAGAGAGAGAGAGAGAGACAGAAGACATTAACAGGAAGTGTAAATGTAATATGATATTATTTTGCAGTGTGAAAGCAACAATTGAAAGGTACAAGAAGGCATGTTCAGATTCATCTGGTGCTGGATCCACTTCTGAAGCTACTGCTCAGGTATTCTTTTATCACTTTCTTTCCCATTTTGTCCTTCACAGGTTTCATCCAATTCTAGAATATTACTACTTTTTCAGAAGTCACGTCACTAGCAAGTTTTATTACCAGTATTGAACTTGATATTTCCAAAAGAAATACGCGATATAGTATTTCTTGCATGAGCTAAATGTAGACCTAAAATTGATATTTTATCCTGTCCTAAATGTATGAGCTAGTTATACCTAAATATAATACATCAATCTCCTTTATCTTTCATATTTATTATCTTTTTCAGACTACCCATATTGTTGTTTGACACATTGATGCATGCAATCAAGAGAATAGCTTTCAATGTAAATAATTAAAAGGAGAGGTATCTTAAAGAATAACTTATTTAACTAATTTTCTTAACCAGTTTAAAGTAATTATCAAGTCCTACATTTAGGACTGGGAGATTGAAATTAGGGGTATTTTGGAATACTATTCATACCTCTTGATCTAAAATTACATGGCATTAGATTTTTATTCCTCAATTTTATTCAATATCAATAAGTCATGTGAAGGTGAAACCATCAGTGGTAGCCATTGAACTCTTTAATTCTTAAAATTTGGTCATGACGACATCATATCATTATCTCAAGAAATTCGTGTCAATTAATGTTGTGTCGATTTCTGAGCTTAATTGGTAGATTATTATTAATTTTTAACATAAAAGCTAGAACTTTCAGCTAAGATTGTATGATTTCAGTATTATCAGCAAGAAGCTGCCAAACTGCGAGCTCAAATCAGTAACCTGCGGAACAACAACAGGTACTTTGATTTTTTTTTTTTCTTTTAAATGTTACATTTATATAATTTGATCTATCAAAAAGTCAAAATTTATACGTGTCGAGCTGAGAAAGGAAATGAAAAATTGCAGGCAAATGATGGGGGAGACTTTGGCAGGTTTGAGTGCAAGAGATCTCAAGAACTTGGAGTCTAAGTTAGAGAAAGGCATTAGCAGAATTCGTTCCAAAAAGGTATTTAAATCTTTTTTTTTTATTTTTTTTTTGTTTTGTGCGTTTTAGATTTTGGGGCTTTTCTGACTTTGTTTTATTTTGTTGCTTCCGTTGTGGCATTTCCCAAACACGAGTACCAGAATGAACTTCTATTTGCAGAAATTGAGTATATGCAGAAGAGGGTAAGTTCTTTCTTTTCATTTGCTTGGACCTCTCCACCACACATCTAGACCGTCAAATCAAATTTGAATATTCAGATACGATATTTTATTAAAAAAATCTTATTGAAATATAAAAACATATTAATTTAGACAATTAAATATTTTATGTAACAGTTTAAAACTATAATGGAGTCGCAATGGAGAGAAATCAAACTCATGGTCATCTGATGACCAAAAAAAAAATTATTAGTCTATATACTTTGCCATTTGAGTGAATAAAAGTAGTACTTTTTAATTTCTTTCTCGTCATGTTAATTAAAATCACCAAACGCCTCATAATAATATTGATATTTATTCATATAATTCACTTCATCTTGTGTAACATCAAGCCAAGGTAGGTGTTGTGACTAGAATATACAAGTTTTGTGAGGCACACATCTCTTTTTATTTTTTTGCCTTCTCTCTTGCTAGCTACATAATTATTGGAAAGTATCAAAATCCAAGAATCACATTACTGTGTATAATGCACGAGAAACGGTGATTCTCATCAAACCCTAAAATGAAAGAGTACCAAAAGGGGAACTTCCGTTGCCACAATTCATGTCCTTCCGATAAGATTCTATTCTCTGAAACTTTCAAGTGCCTTTACTTTTCACATGCCAAGTCTCATGCATGAACTGTAAACTGCAGGAGGTAGACTTGCACAATAACAACCAGCTTCTTCGAGCTAAGGTATATATATATATGTGTGCATGCATGATGCATGTCCCTCTCTCTCCCCCTTCACACGCATGATCGAAATAGAGAACTGAAAGCTTTCCAAACGTAGCGATTCATTTATTGTGGTGGTGATAATATATATAATGTAGATAGCTGAAAGTGAGAGAAACCAGCAGCAGCAGCAGCAGCATAACATGAATGTGTTTCCTGGAGGGTCAAATTATGAAGCAATGCAGTCATCAAATGAGCATCAATTTGACTCTCGAGGTTTCTTCCAAGTGACTGGTTTGCAACCTACTAGTCACTACGCTCCCCAAGACCACATGTCCCTCCAATTAGTGTATGTTCCCCCTTCCTACTATGCATATGTGTGTGTCTCTGCCCGTGTCTATGTCTTATATTCTTTTTCTTCCTTTGTCTTTTACTTCATCTTCAGCACAAATATTATGGCTTTATGGATAAAAATGATCATATAGTGATGATTTGCCGTCTTTTAGTTTCATTTAGGACAGACCGTAACTTCGTCAATATGGCAGAAGGTAGGAAAAGAATAATTAGTTCCAAGTCTGCACATGAGGATCCCATACGTACAGCTGGAATCTGTTCCTTTCTCAATATCTCTTCCTCTACTTCATCCGTGAAGTGTTTCAGAGATTCAAATTAGTTTTTTGACTTTTATACGTTGATAGGTGTATATATTGGTCCATTTGTGTGTGTATACTCATGCGTCTCACTATTTTAACAAGAGGGAAAAAAAAAGAAATATCAAAATGAATGTCGAATGCTGAAAATGCATGTCAAAGTCAGATCATATTTTGTATATATATGACAATGACACAAGGAATTAGTATCATGCTAGAACTCTATAATGTGAGAAACATTTTTCCTTCAAATCCATACTTATATATTTATAAACTCTAGTTGTCAAACAAATTCATAATGCATAATTCATTAAAGCTTTTGGTTTGTGATAGACTAATCAAGTTCCTTCTTTTCTTTTCTTTTTTCTTTTCCTTTTTTATTCTTGTTTCTTGGAATGTTCTTGTGCAGGTGATGTGCTCGTGACTTGTTAAGAACTTCTGCTTCTTGTATTTTGGCATAATATGACAGCAGATGAATGCTAGAGCGTTAAGGCAACAAATATATATATATATATATATATAAGCAGAACTGTGTGAGAAAGATATTTTGAAGTATTAATTCCCTCTCTATGTAGTGGCCTTGTAGACATTAATGATAACACTAAATATTCCGTGTTCATGGTGAAAGCTGCTTAATTACGTGTTTGGTACGAGTTATGCAGGAGACAGCTTGACATGTTTGGACTTCGGAATACTTTTTTATTAATTCCTATGACGTTAGTTTCCCTTCCTGTTATTTTCACTTAGCTTGCATGTCTTTTAATTGAAATCTTTCATTAAAAAAATGTAGTTAATTAGTGTATGGTTTTCATGATTTAGCATATATCACTTGATTAGTCTTTTAAAAATCCACCCACCACAATCCACACACTTATAGACACACTCGTCTTAACAATATTGTGGGCCAGGTGAAAAGTGAAGTAATAATGTGTCTTAGACACATTATTAAGTAGTTTTCATGATCTGCGCAAGATAGGCAATTTTGTGTAATGAGAAGGAATAGAGAGAGAGTATGTCACTATTTAATTTATTATATACATGAACTACCGATAAAAAAAGGTACAGAAACTTCTTTATTATAGTGACGCTATGGGAGTTACCTAGCTAGCTAGTGCATGGGGTTCTAAAACAGTTTATTACAAAATTTACAAGGATGAAACATTGCATCATATATCAGCTGGACATTGGTATATACAGAGAGAGAGAGAGAGAGAAATGGTAGATTTAAGAACGAACAAGCTGGGAAATATTCATTGGATAAGTGAAACCAGGAATTGAAGCATTATATGAAGAAATTGCAATGAGTAAGTTGACAGCTTCAGTGGGATGAAATGAATCAAAGAACACAAAATCTTTTCTGTTTTCAAATGGCCTTGCATTAGCAACGCACTGCCCGTTTTCCCCTACTTGGCAACACCCAGAATCCAAAACTTTGAAACCTGCAATTCCATTCATTCATATAAACTTTGCTTCTAGCTAGTCTGTGTATGTGTATTCAAACTTAGAGTCAAGGGGCAATTAATAATGTAGATAGAGATAATTAACAAAGAAGTACCAAGTGAAGGATCAACTTTGGAAACAGTACTGTTGATGAAGATGAAAGAGGCATTTGGGAGAGCCTTATTGAAGCGATCAACTTGAGATTTGAGGTTTGAGTTAAAGATGAAAGCCGCTTTATTAATGTCATCAACACTACTATTTGTTTCAAGTGTTGTAAGTGCCCTTGGGGTGCTACCTATATACCCCATCCCCACCAACACAAACTTCCTCCCTCCAATATCATATAGACTCTGCATCATCATTATCATCATCATCATCATCATTACAACACAAACATATTAATCATTTTTGGAATGAATGGATGAAAAGGTAGGGAAAGGGACTTACTCGGATGATGTGAGAATATTGTCGGATAAGATCAGAGGCATAGTGATCAAGAGTGAAGGAGGTGCTGGTAGGGTAATATTGGGGCAAGAAGTAGTTGTTTAAGTAATCATTGGATCCTATATTCACATAATACAAGCACTTGTTGAGTAGCTGCTCTACTTTCTCTGAGCTCTTATTCAGTCCAGCACTGATCTGAGATACTGTTGTTCTGTGATTTGTTAGTTGTAACCCCAAGTTTATATCAGATCCCTGCACGCATATCTCAACCAATCACTTCATCGCTATTTTCTTTTCTACCGAATCCTTGAAATGGGATATAAACATTGCAAGGATTACAGGGAAAAACCATTCCAAATCAAGAACAAGATGGGTCTTTATGTTCTTAATTACAAAAATTATTAATAAAGAATACAACTGAGTAAAGAAAGAGGGTGGAAAATTGAAGTACGAACGAGATGCTTGCCGGTCTCGTTGCGAATTCCGGCGGCACCGGAGGCGTAGTTGACTCCTTTGGATATGTCGGCGGCGGTGTTTGCGAAGGGAGGGATCAGCTTGTCGAATCCCAGAAATTGAGCTGTTCACAAAACCCACACCTTAATTAGGTCATGATTATGATTTTAAATTTCAACTTCAATTTTTTTAATGCTTCAATTTTGAGTCTCACTCTTTGGGAGAGAATTTTTATGAAGTATAAAGAATGCAACTCCTTCCTCTCCTTATTATAGGTGATTTTTAATTACTTTATTAAATAAAAAAAGAGTGGTTAATTCGTTAGATTTGTCATAAAAAAATTTAAAAAAATTAACTTTGTCCCTATTACAATTAAAGAGAGAAACACAATATTTGTGGAGTCATACTCTCCGTTTAAAAATATAAGACATTTTTAAAAAGTTAAATATTTAAAAATGTAAGGCATTTTTAGTCTTTTGAGGTATAATAATTGCCTTTTTTAAAAGCATCTCTATTAATAATAACTTTATATTTATTGTAGAGTGTTTAATAGGAGTAAATATAAAAAGATAAGTTGGTTAAAAAGTAGGTAACTACTTTATTAAGAGATGAGATTCGATTAAAAATCCCTTACATTTTTAAACGGAAGGAGTAACTAATAGCTCTCACTTGCATATTAAGAACTAAGAAATTTTTCTAGGAGATGTTGTATAATAGAGAGTATAATATTAATTTCTGAACAACAAAAATCACAAACTCATAGTACCCAATCAAAATAAAAGGCAAAACAAGAATGAATAAGACAAATACTGATTAAAAATCCAATTCTTCCCTGACCGTGCTTTCCTCTCTTTTTTTTTTTAACTGCCCTTAATATTGATTTATGAATTGTCTTTTAATAAAAAAAATATAAAGGTGCTTGTATCACATGTTATTATACAATTTTCTAAAAGTTGACATTCGGCCAATAAAATGATAATACTTTTCACCTCCGAAACGCATGCTTGACTTCTCAAATTATACCTCTTAATTTTGATTTCCACAATAATTTTTTCCCATTATTTTTTTCTCGTTTGAGGATGAAACTGAAAAAATTTAACCATCTATGAAAGATGAACTTTGTTAAAAAAAAATAAACTAAAACAAAGTTATTGTTTTTACCACCGTAAACTAAAAGAGTTACACAAGCATGATTAAATTGAAAAAGCTAGTTATCTTTAAGGGAAAAAATTTTCCCCTAATTCAAAACGCACAAAATGAATCAAAAGAAGGAGACCATCCCTTGAAAACACGCAAAAACTTATCCATAAAAAGAACAAATGAATCAATTATATATTCATCTCCTCTATGTTCCGTCTCTACACATTAAAGTATTTTATATGTGTGTGTGTTTTTCTATCAACATTCTCGTAAACTTTTTTGGGAAAGGACCAATGATCAAAATTTATAGGGTTGGGAGTCTCTAATATACCCTTCTTTAATGCCCTTTGTAATGTCTCAACTTCTCAATTTTATTTTTTATTTTTCTTTGAATCATTGCCTTTTACATAAAATAAGAGACATTTAGATATCTTGATGTCCCAAAATAGTGAGGATTTATATTTTTTATGATTTTTTAAAGAAAAATATACAAATACACCCTTTTATTTTAAAAAAATCATAAAAAATATAAATTTTCACCATTTTGAGACATCAAGATATCCAAATGTCTCTTATTTTATGTAGAAGCTAATGATTCAAAAAAAATAAAAAACAAAATTGGGACGTTAGGGCATTACAAGGGGTATTAGAGAAGAGCACATTAGAGGCCCCTAGTCCTCGGTCAAGGATTAATTATTGTTAAAATCTAAATGGATATTTGTTAATTTGATTTAGTCTTTTATTAATATTTATTTGAGTTTTAACAACAATCCATTTATGCTTGTTTATCAACAAGTATCTATTCGAGTTTTGACAACAATTGATCATTGACTGATATAAATTTTGGTTAGTGATCCTTAATTGTTGTTTTCTCAATTTTTTTTTTTTTTTAATTTTTGTTGCAGAATAGAGAGAGAGAGAGAGAGAGAGAGAGAGGGATGAAAAGAGGTTACGCACTGATGAAATCAACAGAATTGAGGCCGTTGGTGAATCTTCCGGTGGGCTTGCCGCCGGGGAAGTCGATGCCGTACGGGAAGTAGTTAGCTTTGGCGGAGGTGGGAAGAGCATGGTTGTTTCCGTTGTCTGATAAGGAGTCACCAAATATGAAGATGCATGGCACTTGTGGCTCTCCTTCCACCATCCATATTGTAGCACCCAACATCACAACACCACGCAAAACCAACCATTGCTTTCTCTTCCAACAATAACTCATCGCTAATTATTAATTAACAAGTTCCTAAGCTAATTAGTCAAACAAAATTAAGGTTATTGATGATGATGATCCTCCTAGATTCTGGGATTCAGCTAGAGATAAGCTAGCACGATCCTTGTGTGTATATAAGATGGAGATGTTTCTACTATTAGGCATCTTTATATTTGGTGCCTAAAATCAAGGGATCAGGAAAAATTGCAATTTTTCTTTTTTTTTTCTTCTCTCTCTCTTTTTTTAAATAATTAACTCTTCTTTAATCAATTTCTTTTTCATTTGCCTTCTAATGTTGTCCTAATTGGTAGGGACAAATCTAGCCTCAAATGACCAGGAAGGGTGGAGTAACAAATTACCTATTTAGAATCCCATTTAGTTGACTCAACTATAATTTGTAATATATATATATATATATATATTCATCAAATAGATCTAATTAAGTTTTTATTAGTATTTACAAATATTTTTTTACAATAATATATTAACTCATATTTATTTTTATAATTTAATTATACATTACGTAAACTCCAAAATCATTATATTCAAATCAAAATTGAAACAAAAAAATTATATTATCACAACTACTCAATTCCAAATATCAGTTTGAACTTTAAAAACAATTACCTAACCTAAAAAAAAATGAATATTAAACATCAGTTTCTCTTTCATTAATAAAGTGTTAATATTAAATTAAGAAAAAATTAATTTTTTAGTCCTTCAACTTTTAATTCACTTGGAACTCAGTCCCTCAACTATAACTCGCTGCAACTCAATCCCTCAACTTTTGATTCACTTATAATTCAATCTTTTTTAGTTTTTTTAAAAAAATTTCTTATCAAATAAGAGGAATAAAAGAAATGCTCATATTTTGTTCTAAAATACCCTCTTCTTGCTCTTTGATTTGAGATCTAAGCTAACATAAAAAAAGAAAATTAACAAAAGTTGAGGAACTAAATTATAAATGATTCAAAAGTTGAGGGATTGAGTCATAGACGAGTCATAGGTAAGAGACTGAGTCACATTAAGTCATAGTTAAGGTACTGAGTTACAAGTGAATTAAAAGTTGAAGGATTAAAAGATTAATTTTTTCTAAATTTAATATGTTAAGATTTTTTTTTTCCAAAAATATGTTTATGGTTAAGTAAACAATATGATTATCAAAGCCGTGATTCAACTCGTTAAATACTTTTAGGCTAAAAAAAAAATCGTTAAATACTATATTTTGATAAAAATTGTAGATATTTCTGTTGGCCCTTCTTCAGCTAGCCATTGTTGGGCCCCACCGGATAACCATGATAATGAGCCGACTAAGGTTAGGCCCAAACATGACCTAACAACATACCTATGGCCTATTTACAAAGGACCAATTGTAGTTATCTAAGCCCAAGCTTGATATAACTTCAAGGAAATACATACATTTGATCTCTATATTTTATTTATATTTTATTATAATTTTTTATATTTTTTTCAGTCTTTTGAGTCTTTACACTTTTATTTTTTAAATATTTTATGTTCATTCAGGTCTTTTCATTTTGTTCATTTAGGAACTTAGAACATTAAAAAATAAAAGTATAGAGACCTAAAATATCAGATAAAAAGTACAGAGATTTATAATAAAATATGAATAAAGTGTAAAGACCAAAAGATATATTTTTCCTAACTTTAATTTTACATCAAATCCTTGCCATGGCCTAGTCATATGAATTTATAAACAAGAAGTTATACTGTTTATAATTTATAAATAATACATCAGAATTATTATTTTTTATTTTTTAAGTAAAGATACAAAGGTGTTTTTGTTTTTGGAAAATTACACCCAAATTCCCCATAATATAATTAAATACCATAATTTTTAGGTATTATTTTACAATGCTCAGTTATCAAAGAACTTTATGATATTTAACTGTGTTGTGTGAGATTTAAATGTAATTATTCCTTGTTCCTTTTTGGCCAAATCTTTTTAGTGGCGATAAAAATTAACCTATGCTTTACTGAAAGGTTAAAGCGTTCACGCTTGCGGGATTGGGCATGAGCAAATGTGTCACATGAATAAAATTGCATCAAAGTGTCATGATATCCAATAAGTTTAAGCGCTTATTAGCAAATGCTGAGCACTAAATCTGGAAGCAGATTTAACGTTGTTTTATTTTTATACGTTAATTATTTTTTTCATTTTATATATAGATACATAATTTGGAATGAAAATAATATACTACTTTTCACTTTGTCAAAAAATAATTTCTTATTATAAAAAATAAAAGTTAAAAATTTTAAATTTAAATAGTTCAGATCTCATTAGAGATGCTGGTGAGCATTGTGATAAGTATTAAAACTCATTGGTGTACAATGAAAATAAACTGGTGCTTATTTGAGATTGTACATACATATTAAAACAAAGAACAAAATTACATATTGATCATATTATTAGATATCAAGATTACATTTTTTTTTTTTATAACTATTTGACCGGGTAAGATTCGAGTATTATTATTGGACTCAATAACAAAATTACATTGTGAAGAGTTATATGGATCTAGCATTTAGGTGTGAAGGAGGTGGGCGATATCCATAGGGTAAGTGAAGGCAGGATTAATTGAAGCATTACAGGAAGAAATTGCAATGAGAAAGTTGGCAGCCTCAGTGGGATGAAAGGAATCAAAGAACACAAATTCCTTCCTGCTGTTGCATGGCCTCTCATTTGCAGCACACTGACCATCTTCCCCAACTCTGCAGCAACCAGCATTCAACACCTTGAATCCTGATCAAGAAAACATTACATATCATTAACATCACTCATCAATGACTAGTCTCAGGAAATGATAGTGAAGAATATATAGTTACCAAGCGACTTGTGAATTGTCCCTGCGGTGCTGTTGATGAAGATAAATTTGGAATCAGAGTGCTGATGATTGAATTGATCCACAAGAGATTTGAGGTTTGAGTTAAAGATTAGTGCAGCTTTATTCATCTCATCCACACATGATGATGACTTCCCATTTGCTGAAATTGCCATTGGTGTGCACCCGATGGCCCCCACTCCTACCAATACAAATTTCCTTCCTCCAAGCTTATGTAAAGCCTGCATCTCCCAAGAATAAATCAAAATGTTAAAATAAGTGGATCCATTATAAAGAAGTACGTGACAATAATTAATATACAAGTGATAGTTAAGTCGATTTATTTTAAATCGCATTGAATATGTTATGAGCACACAACTAAATTAAAGTGAGAGCCTATCTCAAAATGCTAGTCTGGTGGTAGGAGAATCTCTTAACCTTATAAACCCTAGTTTTCTCATGAGACTCCCTGGTGCAAGACTTAGAAAAATGCACCCTCATTTAAGAGTTGATATTCCCAGCGTCCTTCATTTCATAATATTTGCTTGGCCTTCTGCCAATTGAAACCTTTTAGGGGTAGCCCAGTTTCTCAATGAAAGTACAAATTATGAGCACAAATTTAAAGAGAAAACTCATCCTCCCAAAACATTAACAACATGTTAAGTAGGAGAGCTTATTAAACTTATATAAACCTCACTTTTCTCATAAGATTCCCTGATATGATACTCATAAAATAATCCCAGCATACTAGAATCTGATTTAATACTAGTTATCAAAGAATTATATTAAAAAGGAAATAAAAATGAAGTGGGTAGGTGATCAGTGATACCCTTAAAGTGAGAGAATAATGTTGCATAAGATCCACAGCGAACTGCTCTTGAGTGAAGAAGGTGCTTGTAGGGAAATACTGGGGCAAGAAGTAGTTGTTAATGTAATCATTGCTTCCAATATTCAAGTAATAAAGGCACATCTTGAGACGTTTTTTAGCTTTCTCAAAGCTTCCAATTTAGCAGCTATTTCTGAAACTATCTGTCTGTGATTTCTCAGCTGTAATCCCAGGTTAATATTATCACCCTGCATGCATGCATGGCCAATCACGTACTGATGATCTTAATTTATTATATACAATCTTGAATGCTCATCTTTTTCTGCAGATTAAGTAAATAAAAGAATGAATTGTAAGAAACTTTACGAGTTGAGTGCCTGTGTCGACGCGAATTCCTGCTGCACCAGATGCGTAGTTCACCCCTTTGAGTATGTTATAACCACCAAGTTTTGCAAAGGGAGGTATCAACTTCTTCAACCCTAAAAATTGAGCTGCAATTAAGTAAACCAATGTTGTTAATTTCAAAGATATATATTGATGGTTCTTGTTTTAAAAATACAAGCAATAATGAAATTTTAGTTTTTCAAATTTACTTCAATTATTGATTTATTTTTCAAGTTTAATTTATTAATTTAGACCCTTTCATTTTTTTTCAAATTATCATGTTAGTTCATTATATTTTGAAACATAATTTAATTTTTAAATTAATATAATATTATATAAAGTATATTTATGACTTAACATATATATGATGACTCAATGAGAATAAATTAACCCTCAAATTAATTTTATTTTTTTATTAATCTAGTCCTTTTACACTGACTTTCCTTCTTTTATTTTATTATAAAAAATTTTGAGTTTGTTTTTATTTTTTTATGCCTAAATTATTACACTTTTTTTTATTAATCTATATGCAGACAAACTTGATATTTTGTTATCCATATCATGTCTTTTATTTTAATGATATTACTTCATGTTTAAATAATAAAAATTAAATTAATAATTGAGAGAAACTTAAAATAATTGAGAATCATATTCAATGATCTCTCAGAGAATTATTTATAAATAAAGACCAACAATAAATCATTATTGTAGAAAAAATCTCTATTATCATTTTAACAATAAATAATTTCATATTTATTATTTTCTATTAATTTTTTTGGGAGGTTTTTGAACGTAATTCTTCCAACTTAAAAAGCCAAATGAATATAATAATGGAATGGAGGGATGAAAGAGGAGAAGGACGTACAGATGAAGTCAATAGAAGTTCGGCCATTGGTAAATCGGCCAGTGGGCCCATGAGGGAAGTCAATGCCATAAGGAACGTAATTAGATTTGGCGGA